TGGTACTTAAGATTTATATGAAAAAACTAGAAAATCTATAAACATAAAATCAAAATGGCAAAAACTTAAAAACCTCTGTTCAGAGACAAGCACTTGGGTTCTTGACGTGCACTCTTCTGCATTTCCCTCGCTTTCTTCACTTACACATGACATGGTGTTCTCTACTGTCTGAAAGCACTTCTGCAGTTAAGTTTCGGGTTGCACTGGGATTCTCTCTCTTTCTCTCTCTCACACAAACAACTGGAAGACACAGGAAGGCATCATAGCTGGATAAAACCTCCAAGGAACAAATGTTGGAGGTGAGACCAAAAACTGAATTCTGAAGGCTACATGGCTCCTGTCTTCTGACAAAGATCTAGGATTTATTTTGAAATGTGAGTGCTCGTAAGTCATCAGAAAGGATCACAGAGGAAGGAAGCTGGAAAAGGCAGTGACCACAAGTTGCTGGCCGTGCCTCCTATTTAGAGGTGGAGCCCAGGTCCCCTCCTCTAGGGTGTGGACGGGCTTGTGACCCTGCTCTGATGAATGGGTCAGGGGATGAAATTCTTGTATAACACCTAAGACTTGACTGTCAAAGTCCATGCAGGCTTCCGCTTGTTCGCAGGACACTGGTCTTAGTAATTCGGTAAGCCCAAGTGGAAGGCTCTGACAAACAGAAATGTTGAGAAAATCACAGTTGCTGTTGCTAGGTGCTGTCAAGGTGACTAGGGATCATAGAGACCCTATAAACAACTAATCAAAATGTTGCCTTCATCTGTGCCATCCCCACAAGGTCATGTCCAAACCCACTGTTGTGGTCACAGCACTAATCTATCTTGTTGAGGGTCTGAATTTCTGGCACCAGCTCCAGGGAAGGCTTCCTCTCACTTTCCATGAAGGAATGATGCTAATTGTTTGAGGCAGTTGATGTCACTGTCTCCTTCATAGTTCTAAAGGGAAGGCTTCCTCTCACTGTCTGCTCAGAAGAAAGGGTCCTTGTCTCCTCTAGTGTCTGTGGTCCCAGCATTCCCTGGAGAGTTCGACGGGTGTCAGCATCAACTTTCCCCTGGATGGAGGAGGTTCTCCGCAGGGACCTGGGTCTGCTTCCAGGCTTCCCTCCTGGCAGTCCTTGCCTGCTCTCCTCACTTCTCTCTCATTTTACCTCATAAAATAGAAGGTGTTAGGGGAGCTCTGGTGGCCTAGTGGTAAGGAGCTGCAACTACAATCCCAGAGGCGCATGGTTCGAATCCACCAGATGCTCTGCTGGAGAAGGAGGGACAATCTCCTCCTGTACCTGTCAGATCTGATTTGACGGTACACTCACACAAAAATAAGAAAATAAAATAAAAATAGAAGGTGTTACGAATCACACGCCTGAGAAAACCCTCGTACATCCAAGCAGAGAATAAGGACTGCATCTTATCCTTAATCGCCTGACAATCGATTAGCTTACTTATTCTATCAGATCACATTATGGGGATCATAACTTAACTGTCACAGCACATCATTATGGAAGTGTCAAGCCACAGAGACTGGCCTGAACGATGTGACGTGAGGGGCAGGAGACGACACAGTACAGTTCATGAGAGCCACCGTGTAAGAAGTCTAGCCACACTCTGGGGCCACCATTCTGGAGAAGTCACAGGGAAGCACTCTGACCAACCATCCCAGCTGAGTCCAGCCTCCTGGCATCCCTGAAAAGGGGCCGATCAATATGACTGATGAGACCATCTGGGAAGTGGATTCTCCTGAGTCCCTTCTAGCCTTTACATCCCACAGCAGAGGCCCGGGGTATCAGAGAGCAGAAACAGGCCATCCCTGCCACGTCCCGCCCATACTCCTGAACCACAGAACCCACGAGCATGGGAAATAATGCTCATATTATGCAGCCAAGCTCAAGGTGGACCACTGGAACAGAATCTGTTCTAGGAGAGGACTGGCATGGTTTCCTAGGGCTGCCATAATGAAGGACCACAAGATGAGGCTTAAAGTAATAAAAACTTACTCTCTGGCAGTTCTCACGGCCACGGGTCTGAATTCAGAGTGGGCAGGGCCACGCTCCCTCCACAAGCTCTAGGGACAATCCTTCATGTCTCCCCCAGCCTCTGAGAAACCGATGTGTTCCTTGGCTTGTGGCTGTGACCACGCCAATTTCCACCTCTGTTTGTGCTTGGCCATCTTTCCCGTGTGCTGTGAGCTAGGCATCTCTTTTCTTCTTATAAAGACACATGCCATATTGGACTAGGGGCCACCCTGATCCTACCTGAGCTCATGTGAACTAGTTGTGTCCACAAAGGCTTTGTTCCCAAGGTCAGCAATTAGGGCTTTAATATACCACTCTCTTTTAAAAATTGTAGTGAAACATTTATACTAGCAGGAGCTCTGGTAGTGATAAGCTGTGCTGCCAAGCAAAAGGTACACAGTTCAAATCCACCAGCTGAGCCACAGGAAAACAATGGATGATCTCCTCCTATGCAATTTACTGCCTCTGGAAACCTACTGGAATGCCAATTCTGAGTCGATTCCAACTTGACAATATATAACAACATAAGTAACAATGCATCTGGACTACTTTGACACCTGCAGTTCAATATCAACTACATCCATCATGTGCAAGCATCACCAATTTGCTACTCATTTTTGGTATCAACTTATAAATTGCTCTATGTTAGACTATCTTTCAGGTCTCAAGGTCATCAGGTCAGAGCCAAATCATAGCTGACCTGGCCCTCCACTGGTTTTTCCAAGCTGTCTATCTTTCTCCCACCGAATCACTGGTGGGTTGAAACACCAGAGAGGCACATCTTTTAGGTTAACAATGCAGTGCGACTCCCTTACAGGCTATGCCGTCAGAGCTCCCTAGATGTATCTTTGTTGTTGCTAGCTGCCACTGAGTCAACTATGACTCTTAATGACCCTATAAACAACCGATCTATCTGATCTATCCCGTGCCATCCTCACCTTGTCTGATATACTGGAACCCACTGGTACAGTCACTGTGTCAATCCATCTTATTGGAGGTCTTCCTCTTTCTCTGGCCCTCCACCTTTCCCAGCATGATGTCTTTTCCCACGGACTGGCCTCTCCTGACAACATGTCCAAAGTCTGTGAGATCAAGTCTCACCATCCTTGTCTCTAAGGAGAACCCTGGCTGCACTTTCTCCTAGACAAGTATGTGTCTGTTCTTTTGGCAGTCTATGGGATACTTGGTACTCTCCTCCAACAACATCCTTCAAACGCTTTGAGTCTTCTTTGCATCCTATACTTTTAGGGTTTATCTTCTAACAAAATATCCAAGTTAACTCGTAACTCCAGAATCTGAGTGTAATGAACAGTAAGCAGAGTCTGACACATTCCCTAGAAGGAAAAAAGGCCTATCTCTCTATCTATCCATCGCAAACAGTGCACAGGCTGGCCTGCCAACCAGCGCTATGACGTGACGCTGAAAGCACATGCAGCCATTCTTTCACCTTATTGCCCATTTTTTTAAAATCACTCTTCCAATGAGAAACTTAGCAGCAGAAATACTGGCCACATAATCCACACATTTTGTCACACACATCCCTCTGCAAAATGACCGTGACATCCCTCTATAATAATTGCTTCACTTCCAATCTCCATAAAGGCCAGTTTCTGACCATGATTTTCTTCCTCCCTGTCTCCATCGCTGTCCTCAGAGACTTCCAGGTTCCCAGCCCCTCCTGGTTCTCCAAGGTGACAAGGAGTCTTTCCTCACCTCCATCAGGAACCCAGGCTTTCAAAAGCTTCACAAAACCCTAACCAAATCCACTCTCACTGAGTTTATTCTGATTCACAGCTACCTTGGAGGACAGGAGAACTGCTTCCTAGGGTTTCCAAGAGGCTGTAAGCCTTACTCGTGCAGAGCAGCTGTTTTATTCAAACGGTTGATCTTTCATTCAGCAACTCAATGTTTAATCCACCACATCCCCAGGGCTCACCTCAAAGTGTTTCCAACTTATGTGATTCTGAAAACACACCAAGCTGGTATATTATGAGGGGAGGGAAACCCTGCTATACACACAGAGCCGGATGTTTAACACGTTTGATTTCTTGCTGGCCAGCTCTGCATCCAAAATATTCCGTCACACTTGATGTTGCTGTCACTCTTTTGCTCTGAAGAGGCCTCTCTAAAGCAGGCACCAGGGCTGCTAAGTCAGTGCCCATCACAGAGTGCAAAACCTCCTCGCAGCCAAATGACTGCAAAAGCAAAGCAATACAGCTGCTCTCGGATCGCTGCAAAGCCAAATACCTTGTTTACTGCTGGTACTGTTTTAACTTGAGATGCGGGAGCACTGGAGAAGCCTGGGATGATGTGGTAGGAAGCCGTGAACTCAAGACACCAAGGGTGTGAAAACAACCCTGCATCCCTGTGCCCACCCCGACGACCAGGCCAGCAGGTTCCACATTCCCCCTCCCTCTGCCATTTGGCGTCTGTGCCCCATTACCGAGCCCACTCCTGCCGAATGATGCTACTGACAAGGGTGGGACAGCCCGGCTGTCTGACTCCCTGGAGACACCAGCACGCCCAGCTTGCAGGGCGCTGGAGCGCTGCCTAAGGCTCCTGGGGCGACATCCCTCCCGAGCTGTGCTCCCCAGCCTATGAGTGCACAGAAGATTCTGGAAGCTTTGGCCCTGTTTAATCCAGAGCTCACCTGGAAGGATGCCCTTTTCTTGAAGCACTTAACACATTCGCGTTCAGGGACCGGTCATCTGACTGCACACAGGCCACTGAGGATGACAAGATCTTCTCCAGGGGTATTCTCGCCACGTCTGCGCCTGACCGCATGGAAAATATTTCCCCAGCCGCCTGATTAAGGAGCCCTGGTGGCATAGTGCGTGACGTGGTGGGCTGCCAGCCCCCGTAAGGATTCACGGCCTCCGAAAGCCGATGGCCGGCTGCCACGGCAGCATCATCTACTGGGCGGCGGTGGGTCTTCGGCTGCATGGTCACGTGTGTTTAAAGGGCTGTAAATCCACGGGGATGTAGCTTAAAGACTAGAATGGAGTCCCAAGTCATGCCAAGCCTCCAGCTGCAGCCTCCTGCACCCCAGAACTTGGGCCTCACACAGCGGTCCCGCATGGTCACCTGTGCCCCTCTGCTCCGCTCCGCAGTTTCAGGCCTCTGCCCGCGGCGACCCCGGAAAGTGCCCTCCGAGGGGCGTGAAAACAACCGTCCGGAGTCCCAGACTTAGGTCCCGCTGCCGTCCTCATCCTCGCGGGTCAGGACGCACGTGCCACCCCCTCCCCAGCCTCTGTCGGGTGACACTTTCCCAGAACTCCTCGCGGCAGCTCCCAGAGGCCCACGCGCCTGTGCGCCGCCGTCTCCCTTCCCCCGGGGTGACTTCCGCTGCCTGGACGGAAGTGCTGGGGGGACACGTGCTGGGTTTCCTGCCAGGTTGCCACGTGCTCCTCTCCTCCAAAGGACTCACGTTACCCTGCGTGGCCAACTCGATGCACTTAAATTGGAAATACGTGAGTCTCTTTCCTCCAAACCTCATCTCCTTTCCGGTGGGTCTTTATTCCCGACCACCTTCGATCACACAGACGGAAAGCCTTGGGTCCTTCCCTTCCCGCTCTGCTCATGACCCCATGGGACTGACCAAGCTCTCCTGAAGCCCCCATCCCGGTAATCCCCTTTTCCTAAAGCACCCCACTTGCCTTCCATGCTCACATTCCCTCCTTGTATTCCCTGTCACACACACTCTTGAGATCTCTTAACTGGGAACTGCCTTGTCTCTTGTCTTCATCTGGTCTCCAGGTTCCAGTCCAGACTTCCTTCAGGGAAGTCCAGTTGGGTCACATGCTTCTTCTGGGGGCCTCATGCTGCTGGACACAATCGCAGTGCCACCTGAGCCGGTTCTCTAGGCCACTGTCACACGCTCTAACCTCACTCTCCCTAATCTTCGGCTCCTTCAATGCTCGCCACACCTCTCACTTCTTGGACATGCGTCCCTTGTAGCCTCAGTCCAGTGACTTCATCAGAGCAGTGGTGTCTTTCGCTCCTCACACACCTGCTTATTCTTACAAGTCCAGCTCAGTTACCTCTTAAAGTATCTTCTCTGAATTTTTTTCAGTTAAGATCTATATATATCGATTTGTCTTGTCTCTTCTAAATTCAATGGTTATACCTCATTAATGTTTCTCACACACAGTATGCCTTTATAGACAGTCTGTCTTCCCCCACATGGAGTCTTTAGAGCCAGGCCTGTCCCTAACTTGCATCAGAATTGCTCAGACTCTACCAGTGGTAAATCCATTCTGTGCAGGTCTCAGCAGGGAGTTGAATTCCAGAGGAATCTGGAATTCTTAGGCACGCTGTCCAAAACTGCCCTCAGCAGCCCACAATGTAATGTTCTATTCCACCAAAGAATTTCGTTATTAATATGTGTTTTATTAATCGTTATTCCCATAAATAGGCTTTCGGATGATACAGGGAGATTACAAACAGGTTAGGTTAGAGGTAAATTAAAATATTACCTACGTAGTTTGATATATACCCAGTCTTTTTTTAGATATTTTACTCAACTTCAAACCCTTCTCTTGATCTCTGAGGCGGGCACATCCCTGAAATGTAGTCTGACTAGAATGTAAAACACAACAGAGGTCTAGCAAGAGTGGTTAGAACCACATAGACCTGGTTTTGAAATCTTGACAGGTGACTTACGTCAGAGTCTCATCTCTGTGCTGGGAGAGTAATTGCTTCCACCTTGCAGCACCATTGAAGGGGTGATAGTGTCTACTGAGTTTAGCTGAGTGGTACACAGAATTCAGCATGAAGTGGCAGTGGGGATGCAGCGTCCACCCTCCCTGACCCCTGCCTGCCTCCTCTGAGCAACAAGGGAGGAACTACTAGCTCGACTGACTCTCAGTCTTAAAAGCTGTCTCCTTTCGGTTTGGTCTCTGCATCCCCTGACCCATCACAACTGAACGAGTGTTTGTGAAGCACAATAAAGCAAAGCTCACTATCACAGAGGCTGCCTGTAGTCACACAGGAAGTCAATTTTACAAGAAGTCAGTAGTTAGGAACATTCATTGTTCTTATTTGTCACTTGTTCTCCTTGTTAGAAAGCTTTGTAATAAAAAGCTGTGGGCACCTGGGTGAGAGGATGGGGGCAGAGATGCAGCTGAAATGTCAGCAGGGGCTCCGCTGGGCCGTTCACCAATCAGGATAGAATGAGGATGACTTCTCTCAAGACAAAGGATTCTCTAGCAGCAAGAGCCTTGTCCAGCTGTCAGGCCCTTACAGTTCAAACTCAATGCCATGTCCCTTTGTACAGTAACTGTCCCTAACAATACTCAACTTATATAAACTGCTGAAGGTCAGCTTCACTTACATTGGGGCTAATTACATCTCCAGCCTCATTTTCTAAAGCACAAATTATAGCCACTTGTAAGTGGTCAGCTATCTCTTTCTTCTCAAACTTTGAACTGGCTCAATCTGGCTTGATCGTCCCTGCATTGAGAATGTGTGGTTCACACCAGCTGTACTGAATCAGAATCCACAGTTTACAAGATCTTCTCGGGGCAGATTAACCAGCAGAGTCTGCAGTGCTTGCACTGAGCAAGGCCTGCACGAGGTTCCTTATGTTGACTTGCTGATGTGTGGTGAGCACGTCTACCTGGGTGTTACCAAGTCTCACAGGGGAGGGTACATTTATTTCCTTAAATCACTGGAGTGCCCAAAAAATTGTCTAGGTATGATAAAATAGATACAACCCTGATGCCTCTCTTTCCTGATTTTAAACCACTGAGGCACTCCAAACTTAGTATCTTCTGTTTTCTTTGTGTTGAGGTGTAATCCATACTGAATGAAATGAACCGTCTACATCAATCACAGCCTCACTTACTCTGAAACCAAACAACTAGATGGTTTGTGGTTACCGCTACAGACTGTTGATCAGACCCATGATAGTGAGGGGCTTTGGTGGCCGAGCTGTGCTGCAGTCTCAAAGTCACACAGTTCAAATCCACTGACTGCTCTTCAGGAGAAGGAGGGGCAATCTCCTCTCGTGTGATTTAAAACCTGCTGGAGTTGGTGCCAACTTCATGGCTCACAGCAACAACAACATGATAGACCATGATAGAACGAGAAATGGAGAGAAAAAGTTGAGACAGCACCTCAGATCCCTAAAACAAAACAAAAGCCCTAAAACAACAACAGAACAGATTTACCTTACTGGTTGAGACTGATGGCCTCCTTGAGATGCTGGACTGAGATAGTCTTTAAACTTTGAACCAGAATGGAGCCTCTGCCTGAGGTCACCTTTTGGCTAAGCACCAGATTAACTCACAAATAAAGACAATCACCCTTAACCGCCGTCAGCTGGATGAGATCAAATGGTTAACAACTACTTTAGGAGAAGGCTTATATCCCTCCACCCCCCAATGATGTTTGAAGTTGCCTGCTGCTTTCTTGACATTAGGTGACGTTTTTCTTGGTATGTATTTGGCTGTTTCTAGTGCATCTGCGTAGGTTGTTGACAGTTCTTTATGATGTCATTTATTAGTTGCAGATTTTATTGGGGAGGGCAGTGCGCTATGCCAGGAGTCCTTTCTGGACTTGTGCGGTGGTGGGAAAGCTCTCCTTTCCTCAGGTCCTTCAGCTCCTCTTTGGGCTGCAGTGCGGCTTTGCAGGAATCTCGCCTGACTGCCCCCTGCCTCTTCTCAAGTTTGGAATTGTTCTTTGTAGTGCACAGCAGTCAAGAGACCAACTCCCTCACGCAGACCCCACACTCTATCCAGAACAGGCTGGGCGTATGGGCCCTGTCTCAATCCGTGCTCACTCAGTTCTCGCTCGCCCTCCAAAGAATTACTTTGAAACACATGTGAGAGGGCAAAACAGTAGGGAAAGTAGATTCATGGAAACGAAACAACCAGAACAAAAAGAACGAATACATTCACTTGTAGAGAATGAAACCAAGGTCACTGAAAACTTTGTTGAATGGAAACTTTACTCTGCAGTGTAAACCTGTATGGAAAACAGATAAACAATGCTGTGGAGAAGGTCCCTCTACATCTGCATCCTTCTACGTTTTCTAGATTTCTGTGCATGTGGGCACGTCTATCTGAAGGGCAGATTGTCCTTCTAAAGGGTTGTCCCCATCTGCACCTCTAATGGTGTCACTGCTGATTTAGAGCTGCCCTTCCCAGGCCTGGCTGCACATTAGCATTACCTAGGGAGCCATCAAGCATTGCTCTGCATGCAGCCTCAGCCCTGAGCTTCTGCTTTAATTGGTCAGGATGCAGCCTGGTTACCGGTTGTTCTTAAAGCTCCCCAGGTGATGGTTGTGTGTTCTTGGATGAGATCCACAGCGGCTAGAAAACCACTCATGATTCCCTATTGCATGTCATTCACCCACAGTACAACAGCTCCGCTTCTCTGCAATTCTCTCAGTATTCCGACTCAAGGACGTGACTGAGTAAAAAGATCTATTCCATAACCCCCTAGACCTGTGACCAGGGAAGATTTACAAACAGGGTCTTTGACAATGTAAAGAATTAAAATGGGGTCAGCCTGGGTCATTGAACTGATTCTGATTCATTTGGCCCCAAAGGGCAGCGTAGAACTGTCTCGTAGGCTTTCCAAGGCAGTAGACATTGACTGTCACGGATTGTCATGTCCATCTCCTGAGGAGCAGCTGGAGGATTTGAACTGGTAACCTTTCTGAGGATTGAGATGGACCCTACATCCATTCATTGGTGTCCTTCTATGAGAAACCCCCCCAAAACCAAACCCATCAATTCAACTCATACTGACCCTACAGAACAGAGCACATCCACCCCATAGTTTCTAAGACTGTAAACTTCACAGAAGCAAACTCTTACAGGTTTTTTTTCCTTTGAAATGACTGCTGGGTTCGAACCACAAACCCCTTGGATGTTACAGTTAAGTCCTGTTGTGTTGGAACTGATCCATAGCTGACCCTCTAGCCTTTTCAGAGGCAGTAAATCACTGGGGAGGAGATTGCCCAGCTTGTGGAGCAGCTGGTGGATTCAAACTGTGTGCCTGTGGGATTTCAGTGCAGCTCCTTACCACCAGGCCACCAGAGCTCCCTTTGGAGGCGTGCCTTCGGATGTTAGTTGAATATTTTAGTCATGATGCTAAAAGGGCTGCTTCTGCTGAGAAGATTTGTGTACATACATGCACATGGGGAAAACCACATGCAGGCAGAGACAGAGATTAGAGTGATGTCCTGAGCCAAGAAATGCTGGAGGTGACTAGAAACGGCGGTAGATCTGGAAGGGTCCCCCCACAAGAGGGAGCACAGCCCTGCCAATGCCTTGATTATGACCCTCAGTCTCAAGAACTGGAAGAGAATAGATTTCTGCTGTTTGGAATCACCCAGCTGTGGCTTGTGATTTCAACAGCTCCAAGAAACTCATGTTCAAGCCCCAGGCCGGCTTCTCCATTTCTGCAGAACGTTGGGGCTTTGAACACTCCTCTCAGACAGCTACGACACCAGAGAGCACCCACACAGTGAACTTCTCAGCTCCTGCCTGGGCTCGAC